GAAATGTAACTATTATACGTAGAACGAACTGACTAAAAACGCCCCCTTTTAATCTTGTTAACAAACAACTTGACATTTCGTTGTGGAGTGAATTCAAGATGACTATGAAAATGTTAGACATGGGTTTAACATGTAAACTTTCCAATACTGCCTCGGTCAAATTTAATAAAATTGTAAATAACTTGACTATGTGTAATATTTATAAGGGATGTTTGTAAACTTTCGTAGTCGTCGTGAACAAGAGGTTATCAAATAACTATGGCAACTCTAGCTATAACCTATATTATTTGGCGACCTCCGTGGTCGAGTGGCTTGCACACCGATTGTTCATGGTACCGCCATCTCTAGGTCCCGGGTTCGATTCCCGGCCGGGTCAATGTAGATAAAATTATCTTTTCAATATTGTCTCGGGTCTGGGTGATTGTGGTACCGTTGTTGTTTCCGATTTCCATAACATAAGTTCTTTAGTTACTTACTTTGGATCAAAGCAACGCATGTGATGTTGTCTAATTTTTATTTATTTATGATATTATTTATTTATTGTATTATTTCTTTATTATATTATTATTTATTTATAAGGGTAGTTCTAAGTGTTTAAGATGCTACCCCGTGGCGTGGAGGCCAACAATCACTCCGAGGAAAAACCTTAACCTACGCGAGGTTATGCGAGGTTCAAGCGTTTAGTAAAAACGTACAACATTATCACGTGAAAAAAGAATCGTCTATTAGAAATGAAATACAATACAAATACCTTTTCGGGTCTAAATTACGTATATTTGTTTAAATTTAGTTGTATTTTGTTAAAGAGCCGAAACATTGATTTGTATTGGAAATAACCTGGGTCCAAAAAATAGTTTTATGTGTCGCAATCTTCTGTTCAAAATCGCGTTAACAGTCATTATTATGAATGTAGTTACAATGTCAAAAAATCTTGGGTCATGTTAAGAGTCAATACTCTTAACATGACCCAATCTCGAATAAGAATTTTTCCCGTACTAATACGGTTCATTTTGCTTAGATGAAGTGGTAGTGGCCTTATTTCAGAATTTATTTTTTTACAAACGAAATTTTGAAAAATGTATATCGTATACTATACGCGTTCTATTTAGTTCAGTTGGTTGAAAAAGAATCATTGGTATATTATGTAATACTATTGAAAACAGTGGTTTTCTTGTGAAATTTCGAGGTAAGTTTGTAGTCTTTTCTATCGTGAAATTTTTTAGGACTCCTGTTTTCATACCGTTAAATTTACAATATATTTTTCCAAGGTGATTGATTCACTTTCACTGTTATGCGGAATCAACCAAAGCCGTTTGAAGAGTGTCGATTTTTGTACATTAGTTCTTTGATTTTAACTGTAATGTGCGATGGTGTTTATTTTAACAAAATATGTGAAGTTCGAATGTTTGATTTAACTTCTAATCAGAACTTGGTGTCTTCGCACTGAAACAGGTTCAATGGAAAATTTATTGAATTTTATAAGATTACTTGCCGCTTTTATTTACAACAAAATATTAAGATTTTTTTTAATACATTACAAAATTACTATATATCAATAACTAGTGCCATACTACTACATGCTAGTAATGTAGTGATACTAATTAAATTGGACGTGTTATAACTCTAAAACGGTGTGTTAACATCACCATTCTATATTGATCCGATTATAGTGAGCCAAGGCTGACATTTAGTCATTGTTAGCGAGACGTTGGTGTGAAAGCATGTTCCTCAGTCAGCTACGTACTTTATTAATTTCTAGTTCTTAGGTTTTCGCGATTGTTACTCATAGGAAATGAGGCTATTTTTTCGGATCTAAATTGCGTGTATTTTTTTTTAAATAAATCAACGATTTGCGCCCACATATATTTAAGTGAAGTTCTTCACACAAAGAACAACACGATTAACTGTCGATCCCGACTTTTTTGACAGCCGTGATAATGGGAAGAGCTAGAACGACAGTCGTCTGACGATATAAAACGTCACAATAAAAATGTGGCGACACATAATAGCAGCTTCAAACGATTCTGTCGTGCAAACGACAAGGCGGCTGCCGTGAACTGATAAATTGTCGTTACGATCTAGTGGGAAAAGCTAGACACGACAGTCGTTCAACGATAATATAAGCGTCCACGACACAGTCACGGCAGACAGTCGTTTTATGGGATCGGGCTAGACGCGACAGTCGTCCAACGATACATAATGGGAACGCGCCTTATATGTCAGTCATTAGTCAGGCGTGACCATGGGACCTGTAAAAAAGTCGGTTCGTTTGGAAAAACTATTTTAATTTCTTATTACTTTCTTTTGCTGTATTTATTTTTCACTGCTGGGCACATGTCTTCTGTAAAGGTCATAGTACGCCACTCTGCGCGACATAGAAACTTGGACTGTAAACCTTCTTACAAGTTTTATAACGTTATTCTCCTTCACCATTACAAATGTACGTAATCTTACAAATTAAAGTCATAAGTTCATGATGGCACATGGATTTGTACCGTGGAATTTTCAAATAAGAAGCATCCTCTCCCCTACTGGCATACCACTGCTCTTAATGGAGAGTTAGGTATTATTGTTATTACGATTAGGTCAAACACCGTCCCTGAAATGGAGGCCACATTGCTCTGTACTTCAATAGCTTAAACAGTTGCACGAAACTCAGTTTTAAAATTATTACTACGTAAAATCCACTTTGGATTACTTACAGACTAATTAGGCGATACGGTTAATAAGTAAGTGCTTTATTTGTTACGCGAATTTAACGTTATTTAGTAAATTATATTGTTCGAGATAACAATGTTGAAAAACTGGTTAACTCTTGCTTAATACGTGCACTATTTTGTGACAATAAGTCTTTTTTTGTTAATATATTTAAAATAATAATATTAGCATAGCGTTAAATTTCATTTGTGGATCAAAAAGTTTCGCCTAATTCGAAGTAAGTTTAATTAGTACTTTTTGATGGACTAGTGGCTTACCCGTTTGCACCGCCGGTAGAACAATTTTAGAAAACGAACTTTTTTAAATTGGTTCTGGGGGTCTACTATTTTTCTCGGTCCGATAGCCGTCCGAAATTTGACAGTAATTTGGCAAATAAGTAATAAAATAAAAATAAGTAAAGAGAAGACATATTTTAAAGTTTTTAATTTTAATTCAATAGATATATAATTAAATCAGCGTGTTCCTATTACAATGTATATGAATAAGAAAATCTTTCCTCGTTGTAGGTCAACTGTCAAAATAATAATAAGTAAGGCAATAACACAATTAGTAATCATTAAAACGTCGTAACATTCACAATTTAGACATTTTAAATTTTACCTTTCTTTCACAATCTGTCGATAAAACTGTCGACAACAACTACATGACTATTTAAAACTTTATGAAAACTGGCAACATTTTACATAATACTATGTCTCCCAGGTACATAAAAGAGCGTTTAAGCTTTCTCGGGTCCCAGAGTAAACCCGATCGCTATCTTGTTAAGTCCCAGTTATCTTTTTTTCCATCACTCCTTCACTGTTCATGCGGTCAGACTTTGGAACGCACTTCCCATTACTGTTCAAAATAGTAAATCCTCAGAGAGCTATCCTTAAAAAAGAGTCAAGGAGCACTATTTCTCCTCTGTTCCATCCATTTTGTAGATATTATAATATGAAATATATATTCATCTAAATATTTGTATAGTCTGTTGTAAGTAATTGTTCTTTTTATTGTTATTTTATTACATAATTTTGTTTTGATGTTCACGTAAACCCGTTAATGTAATTATTGTGTCCAGTATTTTGGACTGCAGGAAGAAATTTCTTTTAGAAACAAGCAGTACCATTTCTTTGTGTTTACCGTTTTACTAAATCTGATTTGTGTTTTCCTGTGCACTAAATGATTAAATTAGTAAATAAAATAAATAACTACGAATGATGTCATTAGCACCGAATACCTAACAGTAAAAAAAACACACACCAGAACGTCTAAACAAGCCACCATAATATAAAAAAATAAATAAATAAATAAATAAATACGTTAGGTACGAGACAAATTGAATTGTATCATAATCGACTCAAGGTCGATAATTCACTAAACCTTTTTTTTTACTGTAAGACCTAGTTGCCCATTGTTCAAGGGATCCTAGTTTTAGACCTAGGCACAATTCGCGCTTTCGATGTTAAAGGGCGTAATTCGAAAAATGCAATTTTGGGGGATACAAAAAAGTACGAAATAAGACTTGTACAGACGGCAGTCATATCAAGCTACACATTGAAGGATCTTGTACTGCTGCACTAGAGGCGATGTTCGAAGAAAAGAGCTTTATATGCTGTTGACTGTTCATGGATTCTCATATCAAAGTAGTTGTGTTATATTTGGCCAGTGTCATTTTTAGTAGCAGTAGAGCTTCTTGTGAAAGAGTGCTTCAGGGCAGGCCAAGTAGTAACGTGACCCTTTTCTCGAAAGTATCTTAGTGAGTGATCTTGTTTACTGCAATTTAATTTAATTTTTGTTTCGTTTGTGATTTTGTTTTGCAACGTTGGAACGGTTTGATTGCGTGTCTTTATTTTTGTTTCTTTCTTTCTACAAATGTAACCACTGCGTTTTAGTTTTGTAGGATGAAGGTGCCCGTGAAACTACAGGCACATGGGACTTGTCAACTTTATGTCGTTAAGCTTGACTAGCGCAGTGGCAGTGCCCTCAGGAAATTGCGATTGAAAGCTCTTAGTAGCACTGCAACTGTTATGAGTAGGCGTCAAAAAATTAAATGGCTGGTGACACGTAGGTTTTTTCAAAACCATTTCGTCCAGTTATTAAAAAAATTTGAATTTCCTCACTTTATTATTGGAGATGGGAATTTGTACAGACGTCATCATTGATTTTGTTCCGTTGCACTGAAGGTGACATTCGAACAAATGTGTACAGCTTGATGTTTTTATGTATGGAAATGTTTTTTAATCGGTGTTAAGTATATTTAGATGGTGAATAATCATATTTGACATGTGTGTTCTCCGCAGGCGGGACTGTTCGTGGCGCTGAAGCTGGTTGCGCTGGCGCAGGCCGGCAAGGACATCAACATGAGTAACATACACTCCGAGACGCCGCCACCCAAAGTCGTCAGTATTTACGTGATCCTTAGTCCTTTGTTATGTCTTTATTTCATTCCCCTAACGATTCACACATTAACGCTTCCTTCAGCTAAGGTTAAGAAAAATTATAACCTAAAAATATAGTACCTTTTTCATATTAAAAATAACCCCTTACCAACTTACTTACCCTTACTTCTTCGTTATAGTAGTTAGCAATTGTTGTTTCGGGACCATTCATCGAATGTCGGACGCTCCTAAGTAACCACCAACAACCATATCAGCTTGATCCTACGCGGCTTTGAAAACATCAATTATATATATATAACCAACATAACCTCTATCCCACACACACCCCATCACCATACGCCATAGAGATCTTACATTGGTTCAATCGGTCCAGAATTTGATAATTTTAAAACAAGGTCTCTTAACCTATGGTCCATGGGGTCCATGGATTTTAAGGGGTTCGTGTAGTGAACGCCGAGGGTCTTGTAGCGAATGGCGAGCCTACTTAGCATAATGGAGTACCCACCGTCACACTAACTATTCATGTGTAATTATGTAAAGTTTAATAGCAAACAAATAAAAGCTAGTAAAACTAAAACTAGTTGTTTTATCTTTTCGGAAAGGGTCCATGGGCTCTTTGACATTTTGAGAGGAGTCTATAACTAGAAAAATGTTAAGAAATCCCGTTTTAGAATATTGAAGTGATAGAATATACTGGATCTCTATGCCTATCATGAAGGGTCGCATTTGGTAGTAAAACTTTACCTGTTTTTCCTTCGGACAATCCTTCATTATATTTACGCTGATCTTATGGTGGTAACCCAGAACTGTTAAAATAAAAGCTATACTGCTAAGTTTTTTAAACGAGGAAGAGACCGCCATTTGAACGTCATGTCCGAGCAGGGCGAGCTGCCGAAGGTGCCGCCGTCGACGGCGCCGGCGCGGCCCGCGGCGCCGTCGCCGTCGCCGGTGGCGCACGCGCCGCTCAGCGACTGGAGCATCCGGCCCGCGGAGAGAGAAAAGTACAGCCAGCTGTTCGACTCGCTGCAGCCCAACAACGGGCTCATCGCCGGGAACAAGGTAGTCAAACTTAGAAAAGTTAATTTTCCACTTTGGTGCCTACCGAGAATCAAACCACCAACACTCACGAGGGAAATAAATGTAGACCATACAAATATTTTTCCCTGTCCGGGAATCGAACCCGGGATCTCTGCGTGGCAGTCCAGCATGGTAACCGTTCGGTCACCGAGGCAGTTATAAGCGTATAAACGTATCGGTAAAATGTACAGAATAGGCTAGGAAACAGTAAATAGATGTTAACAAGTGACACATACAGAATGCCTCATCAAAACGCAGTTTCCTCTCAGTATGGTGTTGCACTTCAAGTGCTTCGACGCATGAACCGAAAAGCATTTGTGCTAACGTGTTTTAGGTGAAAGGAGTGCTGATGGAGTCGAAGCTGCCCCTGGACACACTCGGCAAGATCTGGGATCTGGCGGATCAGGACAAGGACGGCATGCTTGACAGACACGAGTTTATCGTCGTAAGTTATATTTCGCTCTTGTAGCGGCGGTTTTAAGGCTTGCTTTACATCTTTGGGGAACGCTATGTCGAAGTTGGTTGGTTCCAAAAGCACTGCGATCATGTCCAGGTACGACGTACTATGCGTATCAATTAGATGTGAACGAATTGTCAATATGATTTTTTATAGTGTTGTAGTACCATTGATGTAATCGGTGATTCTGCCAAGGTTAAGAATGATACGCATTTATGACTCAGAATTTGGCCAGTGGTTTTCGATGGCAGACTTTTCACAGTTCAGAGGAAATAATACTTGATTTTAATAATAAGTTGCCTGCTTATTGGCATTCTACATGGTATATCACGGAGAGTGTGAGAGGGAATTGCACGATTTAATTCCGTCTTTCCCTTTCCATCGTCGGGGGACCAGACTAGTAGGCTGGAGTTCCACCCCTATGTGTGGATATTCTAAGGATTCGCACGATGCGTTTTGCTTCCACATTTCAATGGCGAACTGCTATGGAATGGAACTTAGGTGTGCTCGATGGAGCCATCGTCGATTTTATCGTCATTTTTCATCAGGTGAAATGGAGGTCAAATGCGCACTTATAGTTTAATTAAAAAATAATAATAATATGCTTTTGCTTGGACGAGAGAATAAGGTTTAACTTTGACGACCGCCATAAATCATACACTGCGGGAATATTTATAAAAATCACGCAGTTGTATTAGTGCGGTGGTAGCAGCAGCGCTGGTGGACTCAGACTCTACGAGACCATAAAATTCAAAATAAATACCAAAAATTGACAAATTTAGCTAAATACTCTTTTATTGAAAATCATGATATTTTGACTGCCGTGATATTTATATATT